TCAATTTACAATACATTTACACATGGAACTACTCATTGGTAGTCTCTTCAACTTACAATACATTTACACATGGAACTACTCACTGGTAGTCTCTTTCTTCAATTTACAATACATTTACACATGGAACTACTCACTGGTAGTCTCTTCAACTTGCAATACATTTACATGTGGAACTACTCACTGGTAGTCTCTTTCTTCAATTTACAATACATTTACACATGGAACTACTCACTGGTAGTCTCTTCAACTTGCAATACATTTACATGTGGAACTACTCACTGGTAGTCTCTTTCTTCATTTACAATACATTTACACATGGAACTACTCACTGGTAGTCTCTTTCTTCAATTTACAATACATTTACACATGGAACTACTCACTGGTAGTCTCTTCAACTTACAATACATTTACACATGGAACTACTCACTGGTAGTCTCTTCAACTTACAATACATATACACATGGAACTACTCACTGGTAGTCTCTTTCTTCAATTTACAATACATTTACACATGGAACTACTCACTGGTAGTCTCTTCCTTCAACTTACAATACATTTACACATGGAACTACTCACTGGTAGTCTCTTCCTTCAACTTACAATACATTTACACATGGAACTACTCACTGGTAGTCTCTTTCTTCAATTTACAATACATTTACACATGGCAATTTTTACTGATAGGCTAGTCCTTTGATGTACAACATACTTACACGTAGAACTACTTACTGAGCTTGATAAGACTTATAGTTAAGATTACACGTTAGAACTGGGCAAGTAGTGGAATGTGCTAATTCATTAATCATTGGTTTCATTAATTAGTTACATTCAACTATCTGATTATTTTCACATGTGATAATTAAGACAACTCCCCACAAAAAACAAAACAAACTTATAATGCTAAAAATTCAAAACATGCAGTGAGCACAGCATAGATAGCCTCTTTTGTAGCTTTGTTATTAACAACAAACATAATGGCAATATTTCATTTACATGGATAGTTGGAATGATTAAAAACAGTAATAGTCGATTACATTAATTTGAATTAATTAATTATTTTCATGACATTCATCTATTTAATCATCATTTTGATTAATCAGTTATTTTATGTGACTCTAATTGATGTAATCTCTGCTCGTAGGTAATCAATTAATCCACTTAATCTCACCCAGTTCTAATACATATGCAGCTATTTACTGATAGACTAGAATTATTTTTTAATATTTAATTATTATTATTGCTAAAAATGTGCATTATATATGGACAGTAAAACAGCTTTATAAAATTAATCATTAAGCTACTATCTGAAAGTATGATAGTTGTACAAGTTGAAGTTTATGCAATTTTTTTTCCTCAGTCTATCCTGTTATAAGGAAACCAAGGAAGAAAGGGCTATTGAGTACACTGCTGTGCTGTTTTGGTATAAATGTTGGTCGGTCAAATCCTCCAATCTACGCTGAGGAAAATGATAGGTATCTTTCCAAGGTATGTGGTTTTGATTAGTTTGTGTAATTTGTTAAACATTTTTCAAGTTTGTGGTGTTAACCTTGTATAACAGTAAATGTACATTGTAATAGCTCAAAGTAGTCTGCATTTGTATTTTTAAAAAAATTGTTTTAGAAGCAACATAGTGTTATTTTCTTTCTGTCAAAAAAAAATTAATTCTGTTAATAAGAAACAGAAAGTCAATTATTAACATTTAATATATGTACTTTATGGTTTTAGTTTGAAATCCCATATAAATATTAGTTTTTTTTCAGTGTATGGAGGCAGTGGGTATTTTAAAATTTGTTTTTAAGAAATTTTTCTTGTGCCATGAAATGAACTGTTTTATTTTGCTATGTGTAGGTAAATTCCATAGAATTGAAATATTGTTCAGGTATTTCAAAAACTAAAATTGTAAAATGTATTACACATGTAAATAACCAAATTATAGAAATAAATATTTGTTTTAACTGTCAAATCTTCAGATACCTGGGACTTACCTACTTCCTCCAGCTAGATGTCAGGATGTCCACAAAATGTGCATGGTCATAGATTTGGATGAAACCCTGGTCCACAGCTCATTCAAGGTATAATTAAATTAATTCACTGCAAGCATAAACTAACTACTCACTAAATGTCTCTGCAATATTAGCATCCTTTAACTCTCACAACACGTAGGCTTGGTCAATTTGACTGACCACATGAACTCTCGCTCAAAGTCCTTATAGACTTGATACTGTTAACTTTTAATATAGTGTGTGTATATTTTCACAAAATTTGGCACTCTTTCAGTAAGCTTTATATGTCTTTCACATACAAAAAAATCATATTTTTCAGTGAAGTATCTTTAATGAACTAAAAATAGATTTTTCCTTGAATATATTGAGTATTTGTTTTGAATAGTCCATGTGCAAAGTGATTTTGATGTTAAGATTAAAAATACTTTTATTCATCTCAAAAATCTCAAATTTCATTTGTGTAATCTATAAAACCTCCTAAATTGATTTCAGATGTTTGTTTTCAGTAAAACTTTATATTCTATCTGTAATTATCTCTACCCTAACTTTATACAAGGTTGGTTAATTTGACTGACCTAATAACTGCAAAAAAAAAATCAAAATAAATCTAAATTATCCTCTTTTTCTTTCTAGAATGACTTCAAATATAGTGTGAAACTACATTTGTTTATCCTAAGTAGCTTTAAACTTGTAACCATATACATCTATTCATAATTAAATGTTATTGTTTTATTGAAAGGTGTCTGTGACTACTATTATAAGTTGTAAATCACTTGGGAAATGTGCAGCTTACATTACACTATTGAATTACATTACGCACGAGCTACTCCGAGTTGCTTGCTTGCGTGCCTCATGAAATATTTTTATTAAATTATTATTATTATTGTTTATTTTTTGTAGTCTAACCTTAATTATCCTAAAGAGAACCCTATTTTTACATTTTAGTTACTTTTATAATAATAAATAAAGAATAAACATGAAAAGTAAGAAATAGAGTACTTACCCACTTCTTTTTTTTTTTTATGCCTTTTATTGTCAATGATACTTAACCCTACTTTTTTTATACTATTGGTAGTAATGCACTAAGTAATTTTTATTTAATTATATATTGCACCAAAGAACATAGACTGATAAAATGCAAAATGTAGACAATTTCCCCTAACTCTCAAAATTGTTCTGGCTTTTTAACTATGCGACAAAAGCCATTACAAATTCATCCAAGCTAGTCGTGACTTTCCCACAGGAATGAACCATGTATTATAAGTGAAACTGATGCTAATTTGTTCAAAACACAGTGTTATATAATATGGGAAATTCAGGATTTTTTAAATTATCGCCTTATAGAATTAAGAACTTCAAACTTAAACTATGGATTATTAGCTAAGATTTTGTACTATACTAATTGTAAGTAAGACACAAAAACCTTGTGTCGTGTACAGTAAAGGGTACCAGTGGCGATGTGGTTAACCCCATTGCCCCAGGTACCCTTTACTGTAAAGGTTTTCATCTATCAAATGATGTATTGTATAACGTTGTGTTGTGAACAGAAGATCATCAATTTCCTTCACAGTACAAGATTCGTTCCCATGGGAAAGTTAACGACTAGCTTGGATGAATTTTTAATGGCTCTTGTTGCACAGGAAGAAAATCAGGAAAAGTTTGAGAGATAAGTCTATATTCTTTGGTGCATTATTTAATTAAATCAAAATTATTAAGTGCATTACTGTCTATAGTATAAAAAACAAAATTAAAGTTAACTCTCTTCAAAAACCAGAGAGTAAGGAAAATGAAGATTGGGTAAGTACTTTATTTCATCTTTTTCATATTTATTCTTTATTTATTATTATAAAAGTAACTAAAATC